CAAATGTGTGACTATAAAGAGAGTTGACTGTACATCACAAAAATTCAAAAATTGTGAAAGTTTATATTTGTTTATTTCGTATTTATTTATATAGATTATAATTAGCATCAATTTAACCAATTTAGCAATGAGACGATACTATTTTAGTAATCTATTTTTAAATTTTAACTAATTAAGTTATGAGATGATGATTATTTATATTTTACACGTGGTATTGCATTATTCTATTAAAAATATTCATGGAAAAAAAATTTTTCATCGTTACAAAAAATAAAAATAAAAATAAAAAATTTTTAGCATAAAAAGTTTTTAAAAATCATAACAATTAAAATGAGAGAAGAAAGCATATATTCACAAAGTCCTTTCATTAAATATTTTGGCAAAAGAACTTTCCATTACGAAATTATAAAAGAAGGAACATATCCTTTTGGTAAACAACTTTGTTATACCAAAAAATCAAAACATCCAATTCCTCATGATTATGTTGTTAATAAACTAAACCTTTATTTCTGAAAGAAAGCCACCCAAGACCTATAAAAAAAATAAAAAGAAGTTCCATAATATTAAAAAAATCTAAGATTTATAATACTTATGAATCTTAAATGTTCTCCTTTTTCCCATTTTTTGGAAGTCCACTTGAACCTATAAAAAAAAAAAGGAAATGGTTAGTAACCGTTCATAATAATAATAATAAAATAATAAAAAAAAACCAAGATTCATATATATACGAATCTTGGTTTATCTGTACCTACAAAAAAAAGAAAAAAATGATTAGTAAATCGTTTCATTAAAAAAAAGATAGGTTCGAAGAGATTCTTCAAAACTTACCTTTGGGATTCAATATCCAAGTAGGAGCTGATTTCCCTACAAAAAAAAAATATAAAAAAACGTTAACACTGGTCAAAATCGATATTGTCGTGCACGTATCAGGTACCCGATATGTGTCCGATATGTATGAGATACGCCTATGATATGTAACATATCCACACATATCGGGTACCCAATACGTGTGGCATTTATGCGTAAATTTGGGGATATATACTATAGACATTGCACACATTTCACATATATATTATACTGTAGAATATCGGACATGTATCATACATTTATTAGATACCCGATACATTATAATGAATATCAGATAGATACCAGGTAGTGCCAATAGCTACCCAATACATATTTGCTATATGTCTGATAAATACCAGACACTAGTTTAAATAATATGTAAAATATACTAATAATAGCAACATACCCACACGTATCAGGTATCCAATTTGTAGTGTTTAATGCAGAATTTCATCATAGTATCAACAGTTTATCAGATACCCGGTATTTTCACTGGTTAAAATTGAGGCAAACATGGCATATATCTAGTACCCAATATATGCCTGATATGTGTGGTATAGGTACATGATATGCAATATACACAATACACACACATATCGGGGTATCAGATTTGTGTAGTGTTTATACGTAAATTCGGGATAAATATTATAGATATTACAATACATTTAATATATTTCACCTTTATATCGTGCAGTCATCATATGGATCAGATATTATAGCAATATAGCAAACCAATACAAATAATATTACTTTACAGATTTATAGATTTTATGTATAAATCGCGATATTATTAATTTTTAAATTTATATAATAAATTATAATAAATAAATAATTTGGATTAAATAATTTGGGTTTAAATAATTATAATAAAATTTTTATTAAAAATAAACAAAAATATAAAAAATTAATAAATTTTAAATTTCTTCGTAATTTGTTTTTCCAATTTTCCTAGTGAAATTTTAATCATTCCACAAAGTAATTTGACTTTCGCATCTTTATCGGGGTCGAAGCTTTTAGAAAAATTATGAAAGATTAAAAATTGTAAATTCATTATTAAATTCTTAAAATCTTAAATTAAAAAAAAAAATTACCTTTTAGGCAGCTGTATCAACATTTTTATTTCTTCTTTTGGAACAAAAAAGCTTCTTTTTAAACAATGTAATCCATCTTCAATGTCTTGGTCGTAATTAAATTTGATATAAATACGTTGCGCATCAAACTTGTTGACCTCGATTTCGATAGTATTTCTTGCAACGCCACATGCTTCAACATAAATGATAAATTGGTCACTATATTAAAATACATTAAATAAAAATTTTTAATCATTGCTAAATAATTATATATATAGCCTAACTAATAAAATAATTTCAATACCTTGATTCAAATATATTGTACTGCGGATATGTAAGCGGTTGTGACTGAGTTTTGGCTTGCGCTTGGAGTTGCTGCGACTGTGACTGTGACTGCGTTTGGGCTTGCGTTTGGGTTTGCGTTTGGTGTTGCTGCGGCTGTGACTGCGTTTGGGTTTGCGTTTAGTGTTGCTGCGGTTGTGACTGCGTTTGGGTTTGCGTTTGGTGTTGCTGCGGCTGTGACTGCGTTTGGGTTTGCGTTTAGTGTTGCTGCGACTGCGTTTGAGTTTGGGTTTGGAGTTGCTGGGGTTGCGTTTGGGTTTGGAGTTGCGACGGGCCCACCAGCAATAATGGCTGTTCCTCGATCTGAATTTTGAAAATAATTTTAATTATTAATACAGAAGACATCTAAGAATTATATTGTTATCAACTAAAAAATAACTTACATCTTCGTCTCTATTGTGAATGGCTTTAGTTCTTGCTCGGTTGAAGTTTAATATTTTGCCGCGTGGTCCTCAAAGGGGATGATCTTTCACATAATTAAAAAAAACTTCCTTCTCACTCTCCTTCTCGAAATGTACGAAGCCATACCTATAAATAAATAATAATAATATAATCATTTAATTAGAATTACTGTAAATTAAAATATACTACACACAGTGACACTATTTATTTACTTACCCCCAGTTGACTTCTTTTTTTACATGTTTAAAATTATAACGCAATGTGGATCTAAGAAACTCGGCTATATTGGTCGCCTTTATCCCTTCTAGTTCATTCGGAGTAACTCCTTCAAAAAAAATGGACAACCTAGACTCTGTTTGACAACAGGGATATTTTTTATTTGCTATTTAATTTAAATAGGGGATGATAAAAAGGTTTCATTAGAAAAAAAAAAAACCTCAATATCCTCTTTCCCGTAAAGGAAGGAAAAAAAATAGCCTCCCGTGAAGGAAGGAAAAAAAATAGCCTCTCATGAAGGAAGGAAAAAAAATAGCCTCCCATGAAGGAAGGAAAAAAAAATAGCCTCCCGTGAAGGAAGGAAAAAAAATAGCCTCCCGCGAAGGAAGGAAAAAAAAATAGCCTCCCGTGAAGGAAGGAAAAAAAAATAGCCTTCCGTGAAGGAAGGAAAAAAGGTAACCTCCCGTGAAGGGAGGGGAGGAAGGGAGGAAAAAAGGTAAGCTCCCGTGAAGGGAGGAAAAAAGGTAACCTCCTAAGAAAGAAAAAAAAGGTAGAAAGAAGGTATAAAGTAGTAATTTTCTTCGAGTGAAATAAACCACATATATATATATTTACCCATCATTGGTCAAGTGGTCAAGTGAAAGAAAGAATATATTTATTTATTTGTTTGTGTTTATCGTTGAGGAAGGCTTTGCCGGAAGGCTTTTATATATGTTTATAAGTAAGAAAGAATTTATTTGTTTATCGCTGAAGATTGAAGAAGGCTTTGAAAGCTTTTATATATGTTTATAAGGCTTAGTGTATAAACACATAAATTAAAAAAAAAAATAAGAACCGCGTAAAAGGAAAAAAGCCACGCTAAAAAAAGCAAAAAACGCGCCATTACTAAAAAAAATTGATGATGATAGCATACGTCACTTCAAGAAATCACCAATCACAAATGGTGATTGTCACAGTTAACTCTGGCCAAATTACAATTTGGCCAGAGTTAAAGTCAAAATTACTACCTTACTACATTGACGTATTGAGTATTGACGCAACCCTAATGATGGCATATTAAGAAGTTGATTTAATTATCACATAACGCCCATAGTGCTGGCCGGCCCTGTGCAGAATTTTTTCTGGTTTTTCGTTTTGCACACTGTGTGATCAGTTGATTTTGTCCGACGCGAGTAATGTGAAAATTTTGTAATTGATGTAACGCACGAAAATAAACTTAATTAGTCTTTTTTAGATATATTATAAAATTCATTTCTTGGATCTTTTTGGTTTAAACTACATATTTATTTGAAATTTATTTTTTTATAAAGAAACCAACTACATTTTGTATTATTATGTAAGCAAAAGATATATCATTTTGATTTTTTTGATTTACGTTTTTTTGATTCTTTTTTATGATATTTTCTTTTCTTTCTCTTATGGGTTTTGGAACTTTCTGCTCTGTTATTGTTATCAATATCGTCAGGAGAATTGTTGTCATCATCATAATTATCATTCCCATTATAGCTACCATCTTCAGAATCCCAGTCATAAATCTGAACTTCTTCAGTCGAACGATTAAGCCTTTCTAGCGCTACTTTATTTAGACATCAACTAGGTGCTCCTATAGGTGGCATTCCGGTTTCTTGTACATAACCATCAATCCTTTTGTACTTTAAAGTTGCTTGCTTTGTTTTTAACAAATTGACCGTTGGATCAGTTCTTTTATGTAATAAAAGACGAAGCTTAAATATAATAAAATTAAAATTAAAATTTTTAAATTATTAATATCTCAGTCTTCTTTGATAAGTCTTGTTTGCGTGTATTCGAATATATTAAAAAATTAGTAAAAGTAATAATGTAATACATACTCTTGGGGAACGCCACCATTTATCATATATTTATATAGACGTTGTTTTGTTTTTGACCGCTTCTTTAATAGTTAAATCCTTTTTCAACCATAATTCCAGATCATTAGGATCTATCTCGTCTGGATCATCATCGGGATTTAGTTGTTCTCTAATCTTTTCAATTACCACTGGTATTACGACTGGCCATTCGCTCTCTGGATCCTTCTCCTCCCATTCCTCTGAATGGTATCCTGTTTCTTTCAATATGTTGACTAAATCTTCTTTAGGATATCTATTAATATACTTGTCATTATTTTGAATAAGATAATTCGTGGCAATAACTCTCCTTTTCTTTTTCTAGTTATATAATAAATAACATACATATATAAAAAAAAAAATTATTATTGGTTAAGTTCCAGTATCCTAATTTTTGCTCTTTTTTTGCTACTTACATCCTGCATTTTTGAGTTCTTTGTGGTTCTTCTTTTGTTACTCTTTATTTTTTCTTCGCCTTGAATTCTAATATTATATTCTCGATGGCGAGAGCGCCAACGTCCATAAAGCATGTCTAATAGTTCTTTATTCGTTACTTTATATCTTTTATCAACCAGTTTGCGAAGCGCTGGAAGTAGCTTCGTAACTATATTATTCTTCTGTTCTGCCCAAGTAATTTTTACATCCATTTCAAATACATCTTTTAGGTCGGAATCGATCCAGATAAACACCTCTTTCTATAAAATATATGTAATAATAAAAAATCAATTGTTAATTAATAAAAAAAATCGTATAATAATAAATAAATACTTTCCTTAAGTCTTTTGTACGATCTTGAGTCTAAATACTTAACAACTTCTTCAGAAGATGATGAACTTGCAGACTCTTCTTCAGAAGATGATGATGAGCTTACAAATTCATCATCTTTAGATGATGAAGAATCAGTTCTGCTGATTCTATTTCTTCTGTGCACATTCTTTTTCGCCATTACTATTTCGATCCTACTTATTTATTATATAGGAATAAAAAACTCTTCAATGAAAATTATTGTCACGGACTTAACTAACAGCTGTTATCTTTAGCGCATATATAAAAATATATTTTTACCTGGCACTTGTTTAATAATTATTATATATAGGTTGACGATATTTGTACTTGGTAAATAAGTTTCGAGTCTGAAGTCTTCCCAAAAAAAGACGTACCCCTTTTTATATAAAAAATGTAATCGTGTAAATGCGTAAAAATAAATGCAAGATCTTCCAAAGCGTGTTCGTACGATTAACAAGATCTTTTAGAGCTCGTATTAACAAATATAAGCAATAAGTTCCTTCAAAGCGCGTATGACTAAAAAAAGTAATTATATTGATTTCTTTCAACCTGCGTTTCTTAAAAATATTCTGTAAATAATTAGCCATTTTTAGTAACACATAATTAACAAAAAAAATGAGTAATAATAATACCAAAAAGTCTATAGCTGACTTATTAAAGCCCAAAAATAAGTATGTATATCCATGTCATTGCGTTCTTTGTAAAGGCGCAGAAGTTGATCCCCGTACACAAGATAAACATACAAGAGATAATATTTTATGGAGATCAGATGATTATGATTCAAGAAGAAATCAAATGAATGCTATTGCAGGAAGAAAACAAAACAAACCTAATATTATCCTCTCAGTTGAAAAAAACCTTGTAGGAGCCAGCTCAATTAAGAAACGCAAAAGAGACGACAATCAGCAAATATCACCCATTGAAAACTCAGCCGATTCGAGTATCCCAAATTCATTTTTAAGTCCCATTATGTCGTCAAGTTTGGCTACACCAAAAAATCCACAACCGGATACTACTACATTAGATAACATGGTAAATGATGCATCAAAGCCCAAAACCTCATATTTTCATGATCCAGAATCTAACAATGAAAATAATAATGAGTATGATAATAATAATATTTGGGAAATGGAGTATGATGTCAATGATATTTATAACATAAATCAAGAGGAAGAAAGTTCACCTAAAAACAATAGTGATAATGATGATGAGGAATATCATATTTATAACATAGATCAGGAGGGAGAAGGTTTGTTTGCATCTCCTATAATTGATAGTGATTAGTAAGTTTTTGAATTAGGAAATTTTGATGATTCCATAAATACCGAGATTATTCTGTGGGCATTTAAATTTCAGCAAAGATATCGGCTTTCCGATATTGCACTTGAAGCGTTAATTAAATTTTTACATATTCTTCTTATACGAATTAATAAATCACAATTTGAAGGATTCCCTACCTCAATATATAAAGTAAAGAAACTATTAGGAGTCATTTAACCAAAGATGTGTATGGCTGTGTGTACAAGTTGTCATAAATTACACAGCGCTAAAGATATTATTGCATATCAGTAGGAAGGAAATTTTGCTTTGATGAATTGTTTGCATGAGGAATTCGCAGACAATCTGATATTAAAATGTCGCAATAAATGTAATAATCCACTCTCCGCTCTCAAGAAAAATAAAAATGGAATAATTGCTGTACCTCGTATGCTCTATCCAAAACTGAGTATTCGTCAGCAGTTGAGCATGCTTTATCAAAGGCCTGGATTTGAAGATATGCTACAGCTATCAGGGGCTCAAATAAATAGTAACTCTAACATCTATTCAGATATTTATGATGGCAGAGTATGGAAAACTTTTCCATTTGATGATGGTAGCAGCTTTTTTACAACAGAAACCGCAGTCACTCATTTAGGCCTTCTTTTTAATCTTGATTGGTTTCAACTATTTACTTACACACAACACAGTACTGGTGCTCTTTATGCATCTATTTGTAATCTTCTAAGATCGGAAAGGAATAAACCTGAAAATATTATATATTTAGGTTTTTTGCCGGGGCCGAAAGAGGTGGGGTTAGAACGAATCAATCATTATTTAGCTCCTATTGTAGATGAGTTTTTAGAACTTTGTAAGGTCTGGAGAGTACCAAAGACCCATAGGTGTCCTGATGGTTTGGATATAAAAGTTGCATTAATTGTTGGATCATCAGATATACCTGCCACTCGAAAGCTGTTTGGCCATGGATCTGTAGCAATGAAATGTAATAGATGTGAAAAACGTAGTACCTATAGTAGAGAATATAAAAAAACTCATTATGGAGGAATGCAAGACTATAATAAATGGGTAACAAGACCTGCAAATCCTTTATTACATAGGCAATATGCTCATTAATGGTTGCGGTGTTTCTCAAAGGCTTCTAGGGAAGCACATTTTAAAGAACATGGCGTACGATGGTCTGAGTTGTTACGATTGCCATATATGGATCCTATACGATTTGTTGTAGTAGATCCTATGTATTGTCTCTTCCTTGTCGTCGCAAAATGGATAATAAAATCCATTTTTATAAATCAAAATAAATTAAATATGGAACAACTTCACATTGCACAAAATAGAATGGATCATGTTGACTTGCCTCCTGACATTGGTCGGATTCCTCCAAAAATTGCAATTGGAAACGATGGGTTTTCCAACCTAACTGCCGATCAATGGAAGACATTTATTATGATTTATTCTACAACTATCTTGTGGGACATGCTAGATGATAATGATAGAAAAATTTTAGGACATTTTGTTCGGGCATGCAATCTTTTAGTTGCAAGATTTATTACAGAGGATGATTTAAAAGAGGCGCAAGAAATATTAAAAGATATGGCTTACCTCATAGAAAATACATATGGTCCCGAATTCATAACAAGTAATATCCATCTTGCTCTTCATATTCCTGATTGTTGCTGTGATTACGGTCCTATATATAATTTTTGGCTTTTTCCATTTTAGAGACTTAATGGATATATAGGTGAGATTTTTGATTTTTTTATTTTTGGGTTAAAGTATACAGTAGACTATATTTTAAAAAAAAATTTCATTTTCACCTAAATTCAGGATCATATCCTAATAGTAACTGGCAAATAGAGCCCGAACTGATGAAAATCGTCCTTAAAAACACTTTTGTAGATTATCATTTATCACGTAGATGGTCATCTGGTCTTCTAGATGAATCTCTTTACCTTCTTATGCCAAAAAAAGCTGTAGGAAGTTTAGCATTCACAGCAGAAAGGGAAGAGCTACAACATTTTCTACTTATGAGACATAATACATCTATGCTTTTCAAAATATATGGTACTGAACCAATACCTGGTCAAATGCTTAAGCCATCATATATCAATGTTGTTATGCCTTTGGAATTGTGAGGATTCCTATGTGAATGGTATGCAATATTATATGAGAAGGAAAAGGAAGACGTGTTATTATTTATGGATTTGCACATGAATCAGCATGCAAGACTGCAAATCGGTGCAGAAATATTCGGATCTATGATAGTAGGTCGACATGAAAACAATGCGACTATACTTGCAAAATGGAGAGCAAATAACGATGAGTCAACTGATATATATCCAGGAGAAGCTCAATATTACTTTGAACATACAATTAGGTTTCCTGATTGATCGAGGACACACCTTCTGGCGTACGTCAAATGGTATAAGCCTGCCACTACTTCAGCTACTCGATTTAAACATAATTTTATGGAATCAGAAGTTTCCAATACAGAGTTATGGAAAGCTGAGTATTTTCAGAAAGGGAGTGATTCATTATTAGCAGTCTATAGAATACTATGCATAGCTGTTAAACTCAAATACGTTATGAAAAGACCGAACCAACAGAATCAACAAAAATATTTTTCTATAGTTCCTTTGAATAGAAGATTTAATTTATAAAAGAATAATCTATTATCTATTCGAAATGCATTTAAACAATTTGCATACACTTTATCACGTGCACATGTATAAATAAATGTCGATCCTATTCTATATGCACAAATACGTGATCGCTTTACAATTGTGTTACATTTGAAAGTGTATGCAAATTGTTTAAATGCTATTACACGAAAATTTTGATCTTTGATAGGTGTATATCAAATTCTATCCAATGGATTTCGTGGCTGTGACCTTTTTTTTTATTAATTAATTACCGTAAGGAAGGCATTTGAATGCCATCCTTTAAAAAATTTTCTCGTGATGCCATCCAATAGATTTCAATAGATTTCGTGGCTGTGACCTTTTTTTATTAATTAATTACCCGTAAGGAAGGCATTCGAATGCCATCCTTTAAAAAATATTCTCGTGATGCTA